TATTTAACCATTACTTCCTGAATCATAGATTCTAAGGTGCGATAAAAATCCAAAGGGAAATGTATGTTTCCTACAGAGACAGATTTTTTTTCCCAGAGCATTTTCAATGACTGCTGCAGAAACGAATGAGTAAAGGTTTCCGGAATTAACAGTTGCAGAAAACCAACTTACTGTCATACAGAAGTCCGTGCAGCCCCCGGGTAAAAGTACTTAAGTATTTCCTTTTGTTGAGTTCTCTATTTTTTTATGAATATGCATATTGGGGGATAAACTTCCATCTGCTCTCTTTTAGCTGATTCTATCACATTTTTGAGCTTTGCCTCATTATGGAGCTTCAGAGAAAGATGATCATTTACATTACATATGGATATAAAGGAGAGAAGGAGTTGATGAATTGCAAACAAGTATAATTTATATGGACACAGTGTGCCAGAAGTGCTTTTCACCCCATTTTACTCGGCAACTGGAATGATTCCTGCCCATTCACTTGGCCTAGTGCCCAAGAACTCAGAAAGGAAATGATCCTGTTAGCCTTACACATCAGGATTCTACTCTTGCCCTATGAGGAAATGCTGCTTTGCACTCAGGCCCATCAGGGACCCCAGAAGGTCAAAAGAAACCACGGAATATACTAATGTCATTTTTTTTACATTCTTCCCGCATGGTTTCTTAACTTATAATGGACATCACGCAGACCTTCTGATACTCTAGCTGTTGGTAATTCAAATGTGAGAGGTTTGCATGATGAAGATAGGGAAGGGAGAGTTGTTCAAAGGCCATATATGTTCCTGGAAGCCTCTCAGCCCCTTTCTGCCCTTTGATTTCCCATGGCAGATTATTTACCTAAATGTTCTTAAGCTTTATAAATAGGTAAATATCTACATTTAGGTTGCCTTCCTAAGGGCTTCTCTGCTGCCTATAGCACAATGAGTTATGACTCCATAATTTGTCAGAGACCAGGATCCAAGGTGCACTAATAGCAGTAATAACCCCAAAACTTTTATTTTTTCACTTATTCATTAGGCATTTATTTATAAATCCTTCATTCTTCACAAATGAGTACTCTGGCAGGGCACAGTGGCTCACGCCTGTAATCCCAGCACTTTGGGAGGCCCAGGCAGGTGGATTCCGTGAACTCAGGAGTTCAAAACCACCCTGGGCAACATGGTGAAACCCAGTCTCTACTAAAATACAAAAAAACAAAAAACAAAAAAAACAACCAGGCACGGTGGTGCACACCTGTAATCCAGCTACTCGGGAGGCTGAGGTGGGAGAATCTCTTGAGCCCAGGAGGTAGAGGTTGCAGTGAGCCAAGATCCTGCTGCTGCACTCCAAATTGGGTGACAGAGTGAGACTCCATCTCAAAAACAAAAACAAAAACAAACAAAAAAAACCACAAATGAGTACTCCTATCACACGCTAGATGTGAGGAATGAAAGCTAAATATAGCGCAGCCTCTTCCTAAGCTGATTGGGAGTAAACAAAGAAATATTCTTTCATGAAGAAATGGTCATTCATCTGAGAAGTTCTCTTAAGCCAGCTAACTCTCTCTCATTGCTTCTGACAAACACAGTGGTCATAGCTCTGAGACAATTTGCGTCTTAAGAACTTCAAATGCCTGCAAGTCCATGCCTACATCGTGGCAGCCTGTGCACTGCTTCCACTGAATGTCCAGACATCAATGAATAAAAACGACGTCGTGGAAATAATAGCAGTAGTTGTTTTTATGCACATACTACATGCACTGTGCTGTGTGCTTTACACACATTATCTCATTTAATTGACAACATTTTGTAGATTTAAGAAAAAAGGACTAAGCTTAGAGGATAAATGACCTGCCCAGAGTCACACAATTTTCAAACCAGATGCTTCAACTCCATGATCTCCTCCAGTCTCTATGTTTAGGTGAATATTGGGTGTGATCAGAGGAATTCGGCAGTTAAGTAGGAGGCCACGTAAAAGGAGTGTTGCTTTAATCTCATTTCCATAGCCAAGAAACCTGGTCACATTTAGAAGCTGCTGTTCTTTTACCTACATTTAGTCCCTTTCATTTTGCTCTCAACCTTTACATGATTGTAGCGTGACTTCCCACTTTATGAAAGAGTACTTGAAGTCTGTATGCAAATTAGTTATTCAAGTTTCTTTGATGGTTGTGGGGAGGATGGAAGTGCGTGCGTGGGTGAGGTGATGGAGTATCTAAAATTTCTTCATATTATTTTTCTCAGAACTTCTGCTTGTAACGGAAGTTTCTCAACATGAAATGTCATCAATTTAGCCTCACTCAGGAAGTTGCAAGGCACTTGACTGTAACCTCAGTAAATTGTACGTTTTCTGAAATCCTGATAATCTTTAGCTGCCTATCATTTTGAAATCTTAAAAGTTATTTTATTTCTGAACTAACTTGCTTGGCAATTTAATTGATTAAAAGAGAAAAGATTATAATAAAATACTTCAGAGTGTAGATATATTCATGTTTACATTACAACAAGGAGAACTCAGAATTTAAATGATCTAATTTTTGTATTCATCAAAAAATTATTATGAGGATTTTATTTATCTGGAATAAAATTCCTCTAACCATGCATATTGTCACAACATACTTGAATTTGCAAAGATACAGAATCTCTGGGATCAGAGTAACAGTATATTCCGATCTGTGTGTATATGACTCAGTGGGTTCCAATGAGAGAAGCTATGGTATGATTATCACGCAGTTGTATCGTTAAAAAGACCTTTGTTGGCATCGTCTTGGACAGCATACATGTTCCAAGTTTAAATATAAATAAACAAATGAGACTGGGAATGTCGTCAGGGTTCAACCTAGAAACACAAAGCCAGTGTCATGATCCTGTAATTATTATAATGTTAATCCTTTCGCCATCTTAAAAGGCTGGGACTCATGTCTCTCACTCAGCCAAAAGCAGCAGAAGGTCCAAGTTCCTCCACTACCTCCCAAACTTGGGTGAGCTGTTTCTTGTCTTTCTGCTCCTCTTTATTCAGCTTTCCATGGCCAAGAGAAAAACCTGTCTTCCTTCTGTCGATGTTCACTCCCCCACGTGGACGGAGCTGAGGCTAGAGCTGCAGGGGATCATAAGGAGCTGTGGGTAAGGTGAGGACAGCAGTGCTCCCTTAATGTGGAGTGTACGTCTGCCATTCTTGTGTCCTTTTCAGTGCAGAACTCGGTGATGAGGCCTTCCTCCTGACCACCTGAGCCTCCTGGTGTCTCCTCTTTTTAGGAATCCAATCTCTCTTCCTCTGCTTCAATCTCCTTAAGGCCTCTGCAGCACTTCCTCTCAAAAGCATTTCCCTACATCCTTGAATGGGTACCAGACCTTCATTTTTAAGTGATTGAAGTTGTGGCTGAGTATGCGTCATGGGCGATTGCCACCATTTTAAAGTCAAGTAGTTCGTTAGTTGCTCCCCAACTTACAGTTTCCTGGCATCTCCATGAAGAAGCTATCCTGTCTTGATCTCCCTGAGGCAGCAGGTTGATTAAAGTTTTAAAATCATGGTTAGTGACTTCTGTGTTTAAAGACGCCCAGAATAATCGATTTGGAGTGGTAGCCATAGCAAGAGTGGGGTCAGAATGGAGGCAGCACCTCGGAAAACTGAAACTGAAACTCCATTTCATGCTGTGAAGCGGGAAGAATAGAGGTGGACATGCGCGTTAGCCTCACCTGGGCACTGCGCATGCAGTTGAATCTCAGGGGTCTGGGAAAATATGCCAGACATTAACAGTGTGATGTCCTCCAGCATTTGAAATAACACTGTGTGTTTCCTGTTTTTTCCTAAGGTATTATGTTTTATTTGTGAAAAAAAAAAAAAAATAGGTCACATTGGAAGGTACTTACCTAAAGTTCAAATGGATCAATTTAAATAGGAAGATGGAATCTGTTATATGGGAATAATCATCATATTCAATACCCTCTAGCAAATATTTCCTAAGTGCCCACTGTGTGCCCGGTATTACGTTAGGCAGCGGTGATTAAAAAGGCTAAACAAAATAATCTCTGTCACAAGGAGGTCACAGTCTTACGGAAGGGCAATTTCATACAAATATATAAAGCATAATATGACAAGTGCTATGACCCACAATTGACAAGTGGAATGGAAACACAAAGAAGAGGGCACCAAAGGGAATCATGGAAGGCTTCACAGAGTGAGTGACCTTCAGGATGAAGAAAAGAGGGAGACTTCCAAATGTGGAAAATAGCAGGAGACACTCCAGGCAAATAAATAGTATATGAAAAGTCACAAAGGGAAGAAAATTGCAAGTCGATTGTTATGACTGGAGTGTAGATTGAGAGGTGTGTGTGTGGTAGTGGTGGTGAGGGGATCGTTACAATTCATACTGTAGGTACAAAGCAATTGGGGAATACCTTATGCAACCTGGAAGAAAGTTTGGATATTATACTAAAGACAATGAAAAGCCATCCAAAACTTTCAAGCAGAAAAGTACCTGATTTGATTCATGGGTTAGAAAGATTTATCCGGAGGCTGTGTGGAGGATGGATGAGAAGGTCAGTTGGAAAGCTACTGCCATATTCCGTGCATGAGATCATGAGGATCCAAAGCAAGACAACAACCATGGAAATGGATAGAACGCCATGAATATGAAAGCATTTTTAGAGGTAGGATCCATAGGGCTTGATTACTTATTGAATTTGTATGAGGAGGACATATGTGAGAGGAAGCAAGAAATGATTTTCTGCTTTGATGACTGGCTGGGTGTTAGTAGCAGTAAAGAGGAGTTGGCAATAAAAAAGCAGAAACAAATTTGTAGAGAAAATCGATGGTTTGGTTATGTGGAATTGAAGTTTCCTGGGGGTATCAAGTGAGTCAGATAAACATCACTGGGGTTCAGGGGACAGATGAAGTTGAGGAGGTTGAGATTATTGCTATGGGATGCACTTATATTACAAAAAGTGAGGGGTGTCTGGGAGGAGATATTTTCTCTAAAGTCCGATATTAAAACCCCCAAGTAACACTACTCTGGAAAATGCAATATGCAAATAGTTCTTTTTATTATTAACATTAGGTTATGTCAAATTTTAAAATATTTACACTTAAAGACAAAACATCTGTACAATTATTACAGTTGGTTTCACTAAATCAGAAGTGACAACACATTATCTATACTTTTATACTAGAAAACAAAATGAAGTCAACAAAGTATAATTACTGAAACTCCACTGTGGATCAGGATAAAATGTGTCCAATATTAACTCACACTTTCCCAATAAGTGTAAAAATGAATATGGCATTGTGTGGACAACTTGTTTCAACAGTGAATCCTCTGTTACTATTTGTTCAATAACATATACAAATTCAAAACTAGCAGGTAAGAAAAAAGGTTACTTTGTTTTTTGCAGATATTGTACTTGTAAAAGAGAGTCAAATGAATCATATGTCACACGTACCAAAGTCTTACATTATGCCTTTCTAATACAGGCAAGTGAAATATTAACACATAGCATTTAAAATAATAAATATATATTTTATTGACAATAATTTGGAATGTTAGTGATACAAAATTTTATGTACAATTATTCAGATTAAAACATTTAAATCCTAGGTTTTATTTACAAATATTTATCTTCCTCTCCTATTTGATGTTTTAGCTCAAGAAGAGTTAAAACGGAATGTATCTGTAGATATATAGTTGAGAGTGTGTGTTCAGTCACTTGGCTCTGTGATAGTAATCTTATGTACCATGTCAGACAAATTTTCAGACTCCAGATCCTCTTTGCCATTATCTGAATTTCCTGATGAGATATAACAACCAGAGTCCCTTGGGCAGTCATCTAACTGTGACTTATTTAAGGAGATGTCTGAGCTCAAGGATAGGGGCACAGGTTCATTTTCTTGCTCTTGAATAACTGTAAATGGAAAAGAGGGCAGGAGTTAGGTAAAGCAACACAAAATCTTATTCATGTACTCATTCACTTTCAAGTATTATCCTATTTTAACTGTTCTAGCCATGACTTCATTACAATGGAAAGTTCTGCAAGTAAAAGATATCTTTGTTTATTTCAAAAGAGAGATTTGTACTCAAATATTCAAGCTACTGTTTTATTAGAAGCCAAAATTTGCCCCTCACTCTTCATTTGCAGTTTCATGGAATTCATGTGCATTTCCTGCATAAGCAAAGATCAATATGGACTCTCATTTTACATTAATAATAAGCTGCCAGAGAAAGCAGATTGTATCCACAGTGTGACTGATGCCTTGTCCAAATACTCCTTAAAGTATCATGACAAAAAGGCACTTGTAGTTTAAATGCACAATCCAAGTCAATAGTGATCTTTGTGAACAATTTTAGATTCATGATTATCTGGATTAATTAATAAATTATCACTATGAGTAAGAATGTACAGTAGGACTTCAATTATTTGGAAGTTAACTAATAAAACTTTAAATATCCAGGGTTTTCCTATGTTTGCATGTATCACAAAATAGATATAAGAAACCAGGTTGCTTTTAGAAAGTAAAACACCAACATTTCCACTGAATCTACCTTATGAATATTTTTTTTTTTTTTGAGATGGAGTCTGGCTCTGTTGCCCAGGCTGGAGTGCAGTGGCCGGATCTCAGCTCACTGCAAGCCCCGCCTCCCGGGTTCACACCATTCTCCTGCCTCAGCCTCCCGAGTAGCTGGGAGTACAGGCGCCCGCCACCTCGCCTGGCTAATTTTTTTTGTATTTTAGTAGAGACGGGGTTTCACCGTGTTAGCCAGGATGGTCTCGATCTCCTGACCTCGTGATCCGCCTGTCTCGGCCTCCCAAAGTGCTGGGATTACAGGCTTGAGCCACCGCGCCCGGCCTACCTTATGAATATTTAGTCTTCCATATCTTTGTCTGTAGTCCTGAAAAATAATCATTTATTTTCAGATTGATAATTCTGCATTCTTAAAGCAGTGTTCTATATTCAACAGGCATTATCTTTTAGAAAAAGATGAATATTAAGGATATAACAAAATATATTTTGGAAGAACCCCTAAGCACCCTGAGGTTCAAATGCTACTCTTCTCGATTCCTTTAGCATCAGCTTTCTCTCTGTCCAGGTGAAGCTGAGCTCCATAGAGAAGAAACAGGTCTCAGGTACTGCCTCTTAACTGCAGTACCATATCTTCCTCTTTCCCCTTCTAACATTGGGGCTTCACCACAGTAGGTATTTGAATAGCTCCGTGTTGAAAGAGCCAAACACACATTTAAGGTTGGGAAAAGAACTCTGCCTACAGAGGCTTTGCCCTTCATCCCATTCCAGTGAGAATAAAGTAAATCCAAACCTCGAAATCCTTCAAAGAAGGAAAATGTACGATTTTCTTCAATAGGCTATTATAATGTTAATTAATTTATATCTACGAAATCTACTCTTTATCTTATGTATTTATATATATATATATATATATATACACACCTTGCTTTAAAATGCATTTTCTAGTTTCCATATGTTTTGCTAACATTAGTTTGCAATCCATTGTGTGTCCAATTGCCATCAACTTCCATTACAAATGAGAATTGTGCTGTAAGTTACCCTTGTATTAATGAATTAACTTCTCTTTAATATTTATAGAATGGTACTAGTTATGCACCATCCATGGGAGAAATTGAAAAGTGTTACTTAAAATATGCTCTAAGTTCTGTAGTTTCGAAGAAGAAGACTGGTTGAGAAAGGCTGGAAGAAAATCATAAAAATTGCTTCTTAGTCTACTCATCTTCAGAATGAGTCATAACAGTTCTTTTAACCTTTTCCTTAGGGTTTGTATTTGCAACAGTGAAACCATATTCATGCTATTCTTCTGAATCTTCACATTTGCCCTACAACTTCATTTAACTATAGATTCAAATATCAGGTATTTGTCTAGTGATATTATAACTAGTTCTAGGTATAAGATGACAATTTTAATATGCACCTATTGTGATTGTTATTTTTAAATTTTAGCTACCATGGAAGCATTTTGTGTTCATTATTCATAACAATCTTTAAGTTTGGGAGGGTTCACTTATTATTCACTAGTCTTTCTGAGTATCAGTCATTCATTCTTCTTTCTAAGCCCTTTTTTTTATGAAAAGGCAGCACTAAAATGGGACCTCATTCTCTGAAGAATTGCTTTCTATCCTGCCTCTGCTTTTCTATCTTATTGCCACTGAAATGAAATCAGCCAGCTCTGTGCTCCATTATCCAAGTGTTTCTAGAAAAGGCCAGAGGAATGAGTCGTTTTGTATGCATTCTGCCACATCAGCAGTGATCGTCCTATTTGGAGTGTGAACCTCTTAGTCATAATGATTGTGGGGATAAGGCCACATTTCCCTGGATTATGTTTGGGCCAATATTACCTCAATGCAAAATTAAAAGAACTGATCTACTTCCCTTCACATTGATATCCTAAACAAGACTTGGCATAATAAAAACTGTTTGTTCCCAATACTCTGTTCTATTTAGGCTGATTACCAATTGTGGGACTCTCTTCAGGATACGAAACAGAGTCTTTAAGAACTATAATTTCCAAAATTAGTCCTTCTCCTTTTTTTTTTTTTTTTTTTAAAAAAGGATTTAGCTTGTTATTTCACCCCCAGAAGCCTCTGTGCATTCACCTCAATGGGGAACAAAGTAAATAAATTAAAAACTGTCTTTACCAGAGAATATGTCATTGTGTAATATTAGTAATAAGAATGTATTTGTTTTTATTTCCACACGAGAAATGCTATATCACATTCTCTAAATTCTAGGAATGGTTTTGTTTTAAACAGAGGTCATTTATTGTAGAAACCTTTCATCTGCAATTTTTATGGAAAAAGAAAATAGTTTCTCAGTATGAAAGTTATGCAGCACAGTAATTTACAGAACAGCAGTAATTTGCTAAATGATTTCCTAGTGAAATGAAAACATGACTGTGCCTCCTCAGATGCTTCCCACCAGGCTTGCAATAATTTCAGGCAGGTGATCAGCTGGAGCCCCTCAACTGTAACTATAGAAAGGCAGGTCATTATGTTATATTACGGAGATGAAAGCTATATTGCATTCACTTTTGTATTTGGAGGATCGAGATTTTCCTCTTCTTGTTTCTTTTCATCCTGACACTAATGACAGGGATTGGCGCACACCTAGGTCTTGTGCTATGGGTGTGTTTTTCCTGCAGAGATGAGCTCATACTAATGCATCCACATTTTCTTTCTAAGTCATTTAGTCCCTTCATGTGGCCATGAAACAGAGTAAAGCTAACTGGTCTACCCAGAAATTGAAACCATAACCCTCATCAGTTTTGTCCTATGGTTCAATCATCTGGGCTAACCAGGCAAGTAACACATTGGAATAAGAAACAGGTTTGCCTACAAAATTACGGACTTCCCATAAGATGTTTCAGTGCATCTTTTTATACTAAACCGTTTTGGATAATACGCTAGGTTTAAAAATGTATACATAATTCATGTATTCTATTATTAAAATTATATAAAAACACACATATGCATACGATTTACAAACAAAAGTGTTCAAATTTGTTAATTTCCCCTCTATTTCTAAGGTCATCCACATTGCTTTTTAATGAAATAATTAAAATGGTATAATTTTTCAATAAAGCCCGCAAATGGTTTGTAAATATCTTAAAGTCCATACATATCTAAATTAGAATACACTGAAGAATTATTAAATAATTCGAAAAAGGGTCTTTCTTATTGCTGCCAGTTGACAGCAGGCATAATAGGAACTCCAGAGAGCTGTATAATTCTGTACTCTATGTAATAAAAATAAAATGATAATATTAAAACATTATTTAGGAAATATTTTATCATGGAGAGCTAATTTGCATATTAAAATAATTTATTTCCTACCAAAATTGTTACAGAATTGTATAAAGCCCATGAAAAAACATTTTAAGATAGGTATCAATGTTGGAAAAAAAAAGGGTGGCCTGGTGATGAAAACAGAAGACGGCTAATATAATTATTCACAAAATAATTATATTGGAGTTGTGACATTTAATTAATTAAGAAAGGCAATCTCAATTATACTAAAAGTGAAGATAGTTTTAAGGAAATAAAACTGGATCCTTATTCTGGGAAAAAATTCTATTCTAAGAAGAGAAATCTGCCTCACCTTTACATATTAAAAAGTTAAAGATTCAACTTTTATGAAAACTAAATTTTGCTTGACTTTCCCAGATTTCTTTGCCCAAATCATCCAGACTTTGTCTTAACCATTTTGCTTGCCTTAGCTTTGAAGCCTCTCTTTCTTTGGGCCAAGTACTATAAAATCATGCAAACTTGAAGGCATAGGAAAATTCCTGGCTAAAGGAATTTCTCAATAAATAATTTTTTAATAAACACAATGATATTTAGATGAATTAAAGAAAATTAGAACTAAAGAAGAGCAAAACAGGAATTTTGTTAAAATTCAAATGAGAATACTTCTGAGCTCCATCAATCATCCTCCTGTTTTTCTCTATCCTGGGGCCATCTCCAAAGAGGGAAATCCCAGGTACACACATCTCAGGATGACTGAACACCTCAACCTCATGTTTTAACCTCACTGGAGTCACTCAAATGAAAACCCAGCTACTGTTCAGGTAACTATGGCTATATTTATTTGTCCACAGGCAGCATTATCCATGGAGGAAAATTTAGTGGACAACATGGCATGTCTCTCAGCTATTTTTTATTTCGTCTAAAGCACATTCTTAAGTTACCTGAACACTTTAATTCTCCTAATAACAGTGACTATCTGGTGTTCATTTCACTTGAATACTAACCCACCTTTTGGAAACACAACAACAAATGAAAAATAGGATTCCATTCATAGGAAAATAAGCCGCTGCTTCTGTTCCCCTGAGGCCATGAGAGGATATGGAGTTGAAATGACTTCCCCTGCTCTTGCCTAT